TTTCCTGCCTAGTTCTTTACCGGTACAATATATTTATGAAAAGCAACTGTACCGCAACCAGGACTTCATTTTGCTAAACTAAGCAAGACATGTTCTTCCAAATGCTGTAGGTACAGACTCTTCCATCTGCCTGCTCAGTTTAATAGCACTTTTCTGCACCTGAGCAGCTTACATTCATCTTTCTTGAGCAGGGGTGATGTAAATGATACACAGCATCATGCCTAACACCTACGGGAAATACTTCACTGTATGATAAGATTTTGGTTTTTTCACTGCACAAATCTTTCCCATTAGATTTCAGTTAGTGAGCTCTGCATTTTTAACAGATGCATATTATTAGTCCATAAATAAATGACTTTGGACATTGCATTTAAGTTGCTGGGGTTTTTTTGGTTTTTGGTTTTTTTTTCTCCACTCATCAATTTCATTCTTTCTTTAGGCTACTTTGGTCCTGTAGTCTTCCAGCTCTGTATCATCTACAGGTTTTAGTAGCACACACCTACTTTTTTGTGCCAGTTTAATTAATGAAAATTCTACTTGAGTTCCACATCCCAGTTATATCCTTCCCATTAGTTTTTCTTTAATAACTGCCTATCTCCCCAGTAGTCACTTCCTTACTCACAATATAATTCCTATAGTATTAGTGCTTAACCTTCTCCAGTGTAACTTCTACATTTCCAGTTGTTAGAGATATCTGGTATGGAATTCTGTATTTCATGAGTCAGCTGGTTTTGATTTCCGAGATGAAGAATATCTGGTCTGACCAATATGAGCCCGGGAAGATCTTTGGTTTTTACCTCCATTTCATTTTTAGCTTTTATCCCAACTGCCTTCTTGCCCTTGCTCCTGTATTTATCATAATCTAGGACACTTCAAACATTCATTTAGTATTGACACCCTACTTAAATTATCTAAATTACCTTTCTGCTTAACAAACTTTTTCTTAGTTCTCCTGTTACTTAACAGTAAGTTCTTGTTTCCTTCATGAGATCTAACTCAGCTCGTATTTTGGCAATTCTCAATGGATCCCTCTACTTCTCGACCTGAAAAACATGGCTTTCCCTTCAAATATTGAAATACCTATGAAAAGCTTCCATCATTGCATTACAGAGAAAACCAAACAAAACCCAAAACCAACTATACATGCTCCAACTGTAGTTCACAAAATCTTCAAACTCAGCCAAATCAAAATCAATTTTTGCTGGGACTCAGTTTAGCATCTCTTTTGCCCAAGGGCTATTTCCCTGCCAAGTTGCTGCTTTTGCTCCCACCCATTTCAACATTCTTCAGACTTCAAAATTCAAGTATGTATGAATCCAGTCTGTATTTATATAAATATACAAGGCAGAAAAAGAAGTAATACCACTGATCAAATTCTAATACAACATGCTTTGAAGAACAAACAGTTCTTTCCTCTAGTTCTACCCCTAGAATTCTAAGGAGACTGTTTCAGGTAAGTGTGGAAAGGAAGGAAGTGCTACAGAGACATCTAGAGACATCTATCTTCTAGACAAGTAGTGGGTTTTCTGCTCTGGCTATAATTAACTTAGCCAATATTCTTAAAGACCATTATGCAACCAAAGCATCAATTATTATACCTAAAGTTGAGAAATCACTATAGTATACTTGCAGCATTCATGTGGCTTAGAGGTTTCCACAAGTGAAGTTGTATTTTTGTAGAATAGTTATATAAACAGTAAATATCCTTTGAACAGGAGAGATTCTATAAGCAGTTCTATATAATGTTACTACCAACATCAGCAATCCCGTCTCTTTGGGGAATTTGGATGTGATATTAAAGTTGTGTTCCATAAAATGAAAACCAAAAGGGCTCCTTACATCAGCAGTTACCACACCTCACTTAGGTAATCCTAAACCATACTAAACACTGTAGTTTCTAGCTTCTGTACTACTAATTTTGCTCTTCAGCTCTGAGCGTCCAAATAAGAATCCATTCAGGGTCCTTTTCCGTGATATATTCTGTATTCTAATCCTTGATTCCTGCAGTGTTTGAACTAAGCAATAGGCAAGTTTGTAGATCAGAACTGCAGTGCAGGAAAACATGTTTGTACTAAAAGAAAGTGGTAGGAGGGTGAGCTTCTAGTCTGGGCAACAAAGCAAAAAAGAAAAAAAAAAAAAAGAGGGGTGAATACATCTGCAGGACAGGTCTAGTCCAGCATCTCTGTTCAGAGAGATTGTGTTGCCTATAAGGAGTGAGCAGCTCTTCCAATTACATTGGCACACCACCTTGGAGAGGTGAGAAGTAGCAGTCTGTAGTTGATTTGCCAACAACTGGTGTTCTAGAAGAAGCCTGGGTTTTATTAAACGCCTTGGCTCAGGACAGCAAACAAGTCTGGTTCAAAGCCTGTCTTTAATATCAAGTACCAAGGTTTCTGACTGTCTGAAAGAGTCTTGAAAAGGACTGGATTACTACAGACCATTGAAGAACCATGAGTAAGATTTCTCAGTTAGGAATGTAATGCTAATTAGTCTTTTTGGGTCAGCCTGGGTGGGTTGGCTAATTAGCAAAAGTAATATACCCATGTGATTGGCCTGGAGTGTGGGTGAGGTTCCTGGAAGCACCAGGTGATACCTGGTGAAAAAAAGGATGTGTGGGTGGTAAAATCAGGACAGCTGCAGTCAGTGACTAGAGAGGGGGAAATACATCTTCAACAGAAAATGCACAAAGGCTCTAAACTTTCAGAACAGTTGAGGTAAGGATTAGCAAGCTTCTATAAGGTTTATTGAAAGCTTAATTTAGGATAAAATAATTTCTTTGTAAGATGGAGAGATACGCAGATTGCATAAGTACTGATGTTGTCACGTCAAGTCAGGTGGTGTGTGCGATAAAACCCAAGACCATTTCAGTGCAAGAACAAATAGCAGATTTGCTTCAGCCTCGAGGCATGGAGGAGACAGAGGCCCTGCAGATGTTGTTTTAACATTAAAGTAGATGTTAATTTAAATTTCCAGCCTGTGTTTTCAGTTTCTAAATAAAAGATGAGTTTTACCTACATAATCTCTTACTTCTGTTTTAGTAGAAAAATAGCAACGCTCATATCCTCCTTAGTCATTGTCTGCCACTGCAGAGAACCATACAGATTGGTTTATGGCCCTTTGTAAAGCTAGGAAGTCTATCGCATGGTAATCGTAGTAATGTTCCTTAAAAAACGTTATGCATGCTTTTGTAACAAAAGTCACATGATCTGTTTGGTCCTCCAGAAAGAAACTCTTGGAGGTCCTTAAGCCCAGGTACTTATCCTTTCCCTTTAAGGGCACGCTCCGTGGGTCACACTACACCACCAAAGGACAAAGGAAACACAGGCTCTCGGTAATACAGAGCACCCAAATGCCCTGAAGGCGTACAGAGGAAGGTGCCAGGTGCATCAGAACAATGGTACTAGAATATGAAAGGAGTTAGCTCCTCTAGGGCAACTTTTCAAGCTTTCCACTCTGGGCTAATTTCCCCAGTATCCAAGGAGTTACTGATGTAAATGCATATTGTTTCAGTGAGCTCCAACGCGTTATATGGAGTGGATAAAACAAATACTTAACGTTACTGAAACATGCATAGGATAGAATGTCAGCTTTTACATGTGGCTCAGAAAATTAGAGGAAGGAGAGAAACAAAACAGAAGACTTTAACCCACACTAAAGCTGTTTAATATTTTCTGGTGGCTGTGTCTTTCCTTACGAAATTCTCTTCTGCATATTGCTATCCTTACAATGATGCTTACCGAGAACTGTGTAACTGGGTCAGTTAATATAAGGATCAGATTTTGCCTCATTCATTTTGTATGTATCATTTTTAGGTTGGTAACTCTGAATAACAGAATTTTGGACTTATCCTATGTCCTTTTATTTATGTAGCTAAAGCAGACAAAGCAATTTGCAACAGCTGCATATGATAGAGTGTTGTCCTGTAACATTTAAAAAGTGTAACTTCTAGATTGCTGTGCAGGAATTCACATCACTATGAGTAGGATTTGTTTCTGTAGTTCTAAGATCAAATACAAATCTATGAGAAAAAAACAGTAAGCTTTGCAAGAAACATGTTTAATTAATTTTACATTTACTATTTAATACATTCTGGGATTTTTCCCTCTTGACAGATGGCAATTTAATTTCTGGATCCTTAAAAAAACCCGAGCTATTATGTCCAATGATTTAACATATTTCACTTTTCAAAATATTAGAGATGGTGCTAAGACAAAGTTTGGATTCAAATACTAATGTTCCCAGAGGGTGTTCTGCTCCAAGGTTTTGGTTCAGGCCCATCTTTTCCTCTCGACAAGTATACATTTGAAAAGGATACTGCCAAATAAATCTCCTGTTTTGAAAAGTTAAGTATTACATGTGTTTCTAATAACATGTCAGATGGAATAGCATGAAGTAATTTCAATTATTTTTATTATTTGTCTGTGGTTTTTGCTTCCTTCTTTCATTTTGCTTAGCAAAACAGCTAACTTAGAGTAGTCCATCTCCCTTCCCATTTACAGTCAGCAAATCAAAGTGAAACTACCACTGGCAAAAAATCCTGCTGTGCTAGTGCTTCCAGATACAAGCGAATGTAATTAAAAATACATTATTTCTTAAATTACACAAAGGTATCTGTTGAAGTCCATTTTCTATTCAGTCTATCCTAAAAAAGAGATGAGAAGCAATGAGATACAGAAAAGTCGTTCAAGGTGGTAGGAACTGAAGGAGAAAGACCATACACAAATAGAGGTAAGATTTGAGAAGGCACTCCTTGTATCATGATCACATGTTGCAAAGGGAAAACAATTTTTTTTAAGAACTCAGCTTTGGATTAGTCCAGGATTCATATATCATATCAGACAGCAACTAAATTAGAAAATGTTATCTGGAATAAATTAAACGTATATGTTCAGCCCCAACCAATAAAGAGATTTCTAATGAAAATAAAGACAAATTAGTGGAAAGTTGGAACTAAGCTACTCTAATTTTTTTTCTCTTCTGTTTTCAAATGTGTTTTCCAGAGTGGATCACTAAAGGAGCCAGAGCCAAACAAAATCCCACCTCAGCGACCACCACCTCAAGGTTGTTTACAGTACATTCTCGACTGTAATGGCGTTGCAGTAGGACCAAAACAAGTCCAGGCTACTTAGATAATTGAGACTAAAAGCAAGGGTTAAAACAAAAATGAAAAAAGAAAAGAAACAAACACACAATCTTAAAAGCAAACATACCAGTTTTGTTCAATTTTTGCATTGTTTCAGTGCTGACCTGGACTGTGTTTTTTCTATGCAGTGTCAACTATACCGTCTGGTTGTTTACTTGTTCATGTCTGTGCGTGTAATGCTTACCTACCTTTCTCTGTAAAATTTGTGATTTCAGGGCTGTTGTCAACAGTGTACAAAGAATGTGCCTCTTTAGAGCCCAGTGCAACTGTACATTATGGATGGTTAGACAGTATTTTTTGAGTATTATATATCGTTAAGTAAAATACCACCAAGGTTCAAATCTAAATACTTTTGCTTACTCTGTGAGTGTGTGCACACTGTACTCATAGCCTTTATTTTTTTGTGTGTGCATGACTAATAGGTAGGTGATCCAGATATATTTTTAAAAGTCTAGATTAGAATTTGCTAGTGAGGCTTTTTATTTATAATTTTATAAAGTTTGTTAACATTTGAGTTTTACTTATAAGCAAGTGGAAGTCTAATATTTCAGTGACTCCATAATATACAGTTCTTCCCAAGGAATATTTAAAATATCTTCTATTTTACATACTGGTATTCATATTTTTAGTAATTCTGCATTAAATTATTAGCTACAAAGCTATGTAAATGGGCCACCTATGTGCAATATCTCAGTGAAAGTGTGAGTATTTAATGTATCCTATTTCAATTAAGTAGTACCTTTTGTTGTCATTCTGAATTAGTAATCTATGGAGATTTTTAATGAAAACTAATGCAAATACTTTCAAAAATCTTATACTTACCTAAGAGTTAAATCCCAGGTGATTTGGTGAGAAGTACCTCAAGGACTGTTAAACTTCCTGTAAGAGCTCATTTTTTTCAAATACTGAGATGTTAGGAGATGGTAGACCAAGGTACCTTTAACCAGCTAGGGATGTTGCCCTTTGATTAGAATGCGAGACAAAAATGTCAGCGGTTTTCTTTGCCAACTCAGGTCTACTATTTTAAACCTAGAAGTATCCAGATAGCTATAAAGAAAATTCAGTCCCAGAGTTATCCACATAAATAGGGTTTATAATAATTTCTTGAACTCAAACATGCAAAAAGACTTGAGATGCCTGACAACTGCTAGATTTTCTGTAGGTAAATTATTTGTGATTTTTGCATTAACCAATTTATAATGTAATATTACGAGAAATACACAGGCAGGCAGTTAATCTGTTGTGAGAAATCTAGCCTACAATCACAAGCTACAGACTGCTAGCATACCATAAAGCTTAGTTGCAAGTGAGCCACAAAACTATAATTTTAATCTTGAATATGTACAAAGATGAGTAGTGGCCATTAGTTTAGTGCAAACAATTTTGTTTAAAGGGAAAACAGCCTTATGTTCTACTTCTGTTTTCCCTA